CATCTGGCAAGACTCCACTGGTACTAGGGTGTGTCTCAAACCTCCCCAGATCTGCTTAGTAAGAGGACAGCTCAATTTCAAAACCCAGATGCATATGAGGCAACACACATGGTTTCATCATCCTAGAAGCAATAGGTACGCCTTCTCAAAACGCTTTTCCAAAACTAAACCTAGTGAGACTATGTCATCCTGAACCCAAGAAAACGGGACTTCCTCTGAAGTTAGAAAGAGACACGCAACCTCATAAATACTACACAACAGTCTTCTCAGCACAACACAGGAGAAAGCAGCACTTAGGCTTGAATCCTGGTTCACCTCTCTCCCTAGTAGTAGCCCAATTTGCTATAACTCTTTACCTTCGAGGTTCCTCATCTTAGGGCTCAAAAGAATAATAATACATAAATACAAAGGATTATGCAAGATACATGGTGATGTATCAGGAACACAGCAGTTTCAAAATATATTCAGATTTTGTTTTGTTTTGTTTTTTTATATTCAGATTTTGAAACAAGAAAATCATTTCTCATCTGAGGCTGGAGTGCCCATTAGCTCTTGTTGAAGTGAGAGGTGATTTACTCAGCCCTCCCTAAGGTTCCACTGTGTCATTTGATTTAGCAACTCTGTTTTTTTATGTTTATATGATCATTCGTAGTTACTCAGAACAAAATGGGTAAGAGAATGGTGACCAGGATGTGTATCTAAAAGATGTATGTTTTCCTTTTTATACTCACGTGGACTTCATGAGTTTCTGGTAGCTGGAAATTGACCAGCAAATAGTAAAATATATATTTATATCTAAGGCATACCCATTGTTCCTCTTGGTGCTATCAGATCTCTCTATTTAATGTCCTAGGGCTCAAAGAAAAGTGCCTGGGGGTGGGGAATGGTGTGGGGGAAAGCAGTAATAACATGACCTGTTATCCAAAATGAACACACAAGCACAGATCACTTTCCAAAATGTTAGTGATTTCAGAACATAAATGCAGACACACCCTTAAAAGAAGCATTGGAAAGGAGAAAAACTGGCCAGCTTCCCAAATCTCACTGAATCCAACTGGACTGGGTGATGACCCAGATCAAAGGCATGCAGTGATTGGACAGAGTGCCGGAAGGAACTGGCATCTTCAGAGCTGCTGGAAATTAGCCAACTGAACCACACCAAGCAAAGGCAAACTGAAAGCAAATATGGGCGAGTAATTGAATACACGTGGGGGTGCTCTTCACAAAATGCAAAGTTTGTGTGTTCCCAAAGGAGCAATTTCCAGGTCTTCAACAGCATAAAGTCAATGGCAAAATCAAAATGCGCCCCCTTTCCAGCCCAGGGACTGAACCTTGGCTTCTATCAAAGGGAAAGGGGCGAAATCTCCTCTTTGTCATCATCATCTTCCCTGCCCTCCTCCACTTCTGTATCCCCTGTCCCTAAATAGCTTTGTTTCTAATCTCATTTCTGAGTGAAATAAGATTTTTTCAAATTTGGGGAAATTCTCTCCAGACTAGCAAGCTCTGCTGTTTATGATGCCTTTGGTGGGAATGTTACATGTTGCAGGGTGGTCTCAATTTCCCAGCACCAGACTGATGTTGAAGCCTGGAAATTAGGTGCTGATTAGCAGTTCAGTTCCTCAGAGATGTGATTTTCCAGTAAACCATCATTCCCATGGTGCCTTGCCATCCTCTGATGAAGAGCGCAGAAAAGACCACTCCTGTCTGGGACTTTAGGGAAAGGGTCCACACAAGAAACCACATGCCATTTTCACCATGAGTCCTCCTCTTCAATTACTCCTCTTCTTACATGCATATTAGGATGAAAGAGATTAGTTTACACCCCGCTCCCCATGCCCACATACCTCCCGAACCCCACACCCGCCTGGAAGTATAGAACAAAGATGACAAATTCTTTTCTGCAGGTTCCAAGTAGGACAGAGGAGTATCAGGATGGGGGCTTTGGGTAGGGAACATCTTGAAAATGAAAGCCTGAATGAGGCTATAAAGAGAGTAAAACAAAGCAGGACATTCTTTTCAAACTTGATTCCCTTTTTAAAAATATGGATAACATTCTCATACAGGGAAACCGAACAAAATGCAGCGGCACTTAAAGGATTTCCTCTCTCCAAGTTTTCTCCGGCCCCTTAATTGTGTTTAAGCCTTGTTGAGTACTTTGTTTACAGTCCCTAGTGTGGTGATTTGCATCCCCCTCTCTGGGTTGCTGTTGGCCGAGGCGGGCAGCTGTCTCAGTCGGATTCTGGCTGGGAAAGGTAAGAATCTTTGCCTTGCTTTTTGAAAGATCTGGGAAAAAATGTTGAATGCCTACAGAGGGGTAATAGGGGGTGGTGGGGGGCATTGACTTAATTCACGCACTGGAAGCTTTCTGAAAAGTTCCCCAAACTTAAAAGAATCTCCTGGAGCCATGTGTTTTAAAAAGAACCAGAAAGATTTCTTCTCCCTTCTGAAAGGCTTGCAGAAAGAAGACTGGTTTCATTGTGGATAAGATTCTGCATTTGGGGGCAGGTGTCCCTTAAGGAGTTCCCAAGAAGGTTTAGTATCTTATAGGCACAGAGTGGAAGCAGGTAAAAATATTCAAAGACATCAGCACTGATCACTAGGAATTCTCCCTGCATTTCAACTCGAAGAGATAAAAGTCAGTTGAAACTGTGTGTGTCCGTGAGTATAATGATTGGTGCCTATTCTTCGTATACAACTTCTGTGTTATCCCAAAGCTTTCTTCGTCTTTGTATTTATCAATACAAATCATTGGTTGTCTACTTAGAGTCTGAAGATGTGCATCTGTGTATCTAGGCATATGCACACTCTCTGTGAAGAATTAGGGTGAATGAGATGCTTGGAGCCTGGAAAGGCTGAAGAATGCTTTGGTGTTACAAGTAATGACAGACTTGCCCCCGTTCCCAGCACACAGATACACTCACTGTCCCTTATTACAGATTCAGTCAAGGGCTCACTGCGGAAAAATGGTGCCTCTGGTTTCTCTCTGGTGAAAGTTGGATTCATTACCTTTGATTTTGGTAATAGGGGACTATGATATTCAACAGGGTAAGGTGATATTGAGAGCTTCAGTGGGTTTACTGGATTATTTTGGGGGGAAAGAGACCTATGCTAGGAGATGGAGAGGAACTGTGCCCAAAGTCCACACATTGCAGATGGGAGGGATTGATGCTCTTATAAGGAGCATCCCCAAAGCCTCCAATGTATGTAGCCAGCAGCCTCCGTATCACCATCTTCCCAGGGCAGTGTTGGCAAGTGCTGAAATGCCCTGGTCCTAAGCATCCCTTATCTTTGACACCAGCATTTCTCCTGGATGATGGCTCTATCTCTTGTGACCCCACATTTTAAAAGTACAAGGATGGCAGCTAGGAGGACTTTGTACCTGGGTTGTACCTGGTTGGCCAGGTACTCAGGGTTCTCAGCATGCTGGTCTCCCCTTACTTGGTGAAGTCAGGCCTCTGGGACTTTTCAACTTTTTTTTTTTTTTTTTTTGCGATGAAGAAGCCCTCTCTCTGACTTCCATTCTAGAAAAAAGGACTTCTGTTCCCTCCCCCTTTATGATAAAATCATCAAAGTATTTTTACTAGATGCAGAAGGCTATCTTAGAACAGAAGGGAGATGCCTAGGAACATCCAAGCACTGCACCAATAGTTAAAGAAATCTAACAACCCCAAGAGGAAGAAGGGAACAAATCTCTTCCGAGATCTAATTCACATTTGTAGATTCGCCATATTAATTAAAAAGAAATTATTAAAACTTGTAGAGATTAAAATATAGAGGATGGATATCATTTAGCTACAGAAGTATAGGGGTGAGCTTTTAATAGTGTCCAAGTACTATCTCATTTTTCTCTTAAAAAGGCAATCTAGGGCTTTAAAATTTCCAATAGCTTATCTTAAAAAAAAGTATAAATCTGTAAGGCCACTTGGGGAATGGGCAGATATAAACCTTTAACTTTATTGTTTGAGAGTGTGATGCATCAAACCATGTCTACTTGAATGTTTAAAATATCTTTCTCCTAAAAGTGGGCCAAGGAGCAGCAGATTGGCATCAGCCAGGAGCTTGTTACAGACCTACTAAATCAGATTCTACATTTAACGAGCTCTCCACATGATTTATGTGCCCATTAAAGACTGGGGTTCAAAATAAGGGTTTCTTTCTTTCTGTGTGACCTTTGTGAGATTATTTAAACCCTCCAAGCCTCATTTATAAACTATTTATAAACTCATTTGTAAACTAGTGAGAATTAGTGTTAATGCATGCAGACTGTATGTCACATCCATAGTAGATCCTCTCTGTACATGACAGCGATGATGGTGATGATAATTTCCGCATTGCCAAAAGTACTCACCTCTTAGCACGAGAAGTAAGTGATCGTGTTTAAATCAAGATGATTGGTTTCTCCCTCAACCATAGCGTTTGCATCCCCCACCCTCATTCCTAAGTGAATTAATATCAAACAAGGGAGGTTTTAAGCTTCACATGGCCCCACACACATATAAATAAAGAATACTGGGGAAGCCTAGGAACGTGGATTTTTGCAGGCTTACAGGCTGAATTCAGCTGCCCCATGACTTCACAGCTGTTCCTGCTGCCCTAAAGAGTCTGTCCCTTCGGCTCTGTCCCCTCAGCTGGGTCTGCAGAGCTGACTCGGGGATTTTCTTATGAAAATGCCTGTTGGGTGGGAGGAAGATCTGGAGGTTAGCTGGGGAAAAAATGAGTAATGCAAAGCCGTCTACTTAGTAAATGCTGCAAGAGAAATAAAAGTAAAAGCTGGCTCCTGTCTCTGGGGACTCTAGAATCATTCTGACTTATCATGTCACTGAGCAGAGTTGGGGGAAGCCAAAACTCGAAATCTGCTGGCAAGGAAGAGAACGAAGGAAAAAAAAATGACAGGGAGGGGCAATCCAGAGGGGGAGGAAATAAAAAGAGAGAGAGGGAAAGACAAGCGTCATTTAGGAACAGAGGTAGAGCAAAAGAAGGAACTCCAGGATCTGAAACCAACCATACAGCACAGTATTTTTCTATCTTTTCTTTTCCCCAGAGGAGATTCTTGTCCTGTCATTTTATTGACAGACGTGCTATTACAGGCTCTTTTCGCAGAAGTTGGCCGAAGAAGCTCAAGCGCTGCTGATTCTTCCCTCCCAAGTTCGGTGGCTCCCCTGATAATGGATTGCTTTTCTCAGAGGTATGTGTGTGTCGTTTGGGGACAAATCTTCATTTGCAAGTTAGCTTATGCCTCAGCTTTGGGGGAAGACTTTTTTTTGCTTTCAGACATAATCTCAAATATCCTTTTACTGGCCAAGTAATGATACTAGGGTATCATTGGACAGCAGTGATTAATTTTGGTGACTAAAAATTACAGGCAGACAGGCAGTTCTAATATTTAGCTTCATTGCACAGGGAGTGATATGCTGATTTGGGCTTGAATTTGTTTTCAGTGGATGCTTCATTCGTTCAAAGTATTAACCTCATTGAAGTAGTCTCCAGAATCTTCCTCTAAATTTCTTCAGTGACTGTAATTGCTCGATCCTTTAGCTGCTCTGTCGCTTCTCAGAGACAAAAGAGAATGACTTAACATGTCTGAACAGCAGACAAGAGCATTCACTGATTTCTCCTAGGCAGCATTTCAACCAGACGCTTTTGACCAAGAGTTTCAGATTTTGTCCTGAAGTGTTCCGGTTCAAAATATCCAGAAAGGTATATCGCAGCAAGGGCATGGGAAAATAAAGAAAGTCTAAAACTTTGCTGAAAATCTAGCATGCTTATTTTTTAATACATGTCATGGTCCGCATAGTGTTGAAATTCCTTGTTGAGTTCCATGGAAAATTTTGAATTGACAGCTCATTACTCTAAGAGTTAATCTTACTTTAATGTAAGAAATTACAAAATCATATCCTACAAAACTGAATCCCCCCCCCCCGCAACTTTTCCTTTTTCAAATGGATTGGAAGGTATAGCCCCATTTCAGATCACAAATCCTGGTCTTATTGCCGCTGAATTTTTGCTGACCTGCAACCCCACCGCAGTCCCAGGACACATGTTGCACTGTTAAATAGTTACAAAAATAAAGACCTGCTGACGGTCATCTGCTATAGGAGAACCTCGTTTGCACACTGTCTGCTGGTCTTGACACTGATTTGGTGGGCAGTGAATGAGTGATAGTTTGGAATGCATGTTATGCCTGAAAACATTGGCAGAGTCTAAGTTGCTATGAGTTTTGGAATGAACCGTGCAAAGGATTGTTTATAGTGTATTCTCCCCATGAAGGAGGCTGTCTTTTGGATCAGGATTGAGACTTTTCAGTGCATTTAGAGGAATGAGAAGCAATAGACAGAGCGGAAAGCCTTGTAAAACATTTGTAGATCGTCAGGGTATATTAAGCACTGTAAAGTGCTTCCTGCTTTTTATATCTTCCCTTTTTTTATGGCTATCACTTTATCTTGCTTTTTGCAAAGAGAACGCAAACAATCAGGAGAAAAAATATGAAAGTTGATTTTCACATGCATCTGTGTCTCCTAGAAAAGACCCCAGAGATGTTTCCCCAGCTCTTCACTTCTACTTACAGAGCTCACTCTGATGCATTTACCTGATATGTTCTGTCTCCTCCACAGCTTCCACCCTGGAGAGAACCCCCAGGTCTAGTCTGTGAACCCAGCTAGGAAACATCACTAGTAAAAATGACTGAAGAGCCCATAAAGGAGATCCTGGGAACCCCAACATCTTCCAAGCCTGTGACAATGGAGAAGAGCCCCAACACCGAAGTGGTGGTCACCACAGTCCCCTTGGTCAGTGAGATTCAGTTGACAGCTGCTACAGGGGGTGCTGAGCTCTCCTGTTACCGCTGCATCATCCCCTTCGCTGTGGTGGTCCTCATCGCTGGAATAGTGGTCACTGCTGTGGCTTACAGCTTCAATTCCCATGGCTCCATCATCTCCATCTTGGGTCTAGTCCTCCTGTCATCTGGACTTTTTTTGTTAGCTTCCAGTGCCCTGTGCTGGAAGGTGAGGCAGAGGAGCAAGAAAGCCAAGAGACGGGAGAGTCAGACGGCTCTTGTGGCGAATCAGAGAAGCTTGTTTGCTTAGGACTGAATCCCCAATGGGATATGTGGCCTGAAAACTTTCTCTCAGTGTGTCATCCAATTCACCCAGAACTAGAGTGGGAGAGAATGAACGGTGCAGTGGGAGAGAATGATCGGTGCAGTGGGAGAGAATGAATGGTGCATTGGGAGAGAATGAATGGTGCATTGCAGGAGACCAGAGGGATGGGGGTGAATTGAGTGTGGGAGGGTAGAGGGGGTTGTTTTATGAAGAACCTACTTGTGTCTTCTTTAATGACAAACTTAACTCTAAGGGCTATTTCTGAGACTGAAAAATCAGCTTTTTCTCTATATTAGACATTTGAGGGGTCATGGGAGGTGCACAGCATTAGACAATGTTCAGTTCACCTTGGAAAGTAGCCAAGGAAAGATGAGAAAATAAATAGTCAGATAGTTCTGGCACACCAGCTACCTGCCTCAAAAAGAAAGAAAGAAAGAAAGAAAGAAAGAAAGAAAGAAAGAAAGAAAGAAGAGAAAACCCACACTTTAAAGAAGTTGTATCATAAAAAAATATTCTGCCAAGAGTCTAAATCACCTCAGACTTTGCATCCTTCTATGAAATTCTGTGATAATTTTTTTAATAAGCTGATTCTCTGGCATCTATTTTTTTTTTTTTTTGCTTTCAATAACTCATCACTGGTGGTACTTTTTCTTAAAGAAAAACTAATATTTTTTATGTTTTAACATTGGACAGTTTTAGATGATTTTAATGAGTCAAGTTAAAAGGTAAAAGATGTAGCTACTAAATGACATGGGGGGTTAAATTAATATTAAAATAATCCAACCTAGCACTTTTGATGATTTTTATATAAAGTTTAATGTACATTTCATTCAAAATAATAAATACTTATTGCTGCTGAAATTTCTTAAATGCTTGTTGCTGTTGTAGTTATGTTTACTGCAGTTCCAAATTGTCCATCTTCCCTTGCCTCGTTGGCAACGTCTCAAATGTATTTCTCTCGAATGGGCATGTTGCTTCTCCCTAACTTGTCTAAAAGATTTTTATTTTTTATTATACCATTCTTTTTTTTTAAAGATTTTATTTATTTATTTGACAGACAGAGACACAGCGAGAGCGGGAACACAAGCAGGGGGAGGAGGAGAGGGAGAAGCAGGCTTCCCGCTGAGCAGGGAGTCTGATGCGGGGCTCGATCCCAGGACCCCGGGATCATGACCTGAGCTGAAGGCAGACGCTTAACGACTGAGCCACCCAGACGCCCCTTTTTATATCATTCTTTTATGACTTGTGAAGAATAATATTATGTTCACTACATTCTCAACAACTTCTATGCCATTAACAATTAGGAAAACAGTTCCTGGAGTCAGGAATTTTATAATGTGTTATTAAATGTGCATTAACTATTCAATCAGTTGTTAAATATTTGCTTCACCTATTTTTGAGCATCAACTATATGTCAGGCATTGTGTAGATTCTTAGTCTGCTTAACTGCGTTAGTTCTAATACAATGCAAATAAGATCACTGCTTGATTTCTGTGGATATTGAGCTATTCTACACCCAGCTAGGACTCTACCCCAGAACGCTTGCCAGGAATATCCCTAGTCCATGTTGTTTAAACCACATGAAACTAGTATGGGAAGATAGTCAGGCCTGAAGCCTTTCTTAAACCTTGGAAATGCGAAGCAAAACCAAACAAACCTCATGTGGCAGGAGCCCTATGGCACTGACTGTAGCCTGTAGTTTTGTTAAGGGGAGAAACCTTGATGGCCTCGTTTCTCCTGGCTTTGAAGGTCAGATGGTGCAAGCCTGGAGTTGTTCATTATAGTAGAGTACACCACAATTATCTTAAATGCATGCACATCCACACTCCTCAGGCCAAATGCAAGTATGTAGTATCAGGTTGGTTTCAATGGGAGGGAGTCTGTGCTTTGACACGCCTCTTTTCTGCTCAGAATATTCAAAGGCTCCCCATTGCTGATGAAGAAATTTCTCAGGCAAGTGTTCAAGGTTCTCCACTATCCGATCCAAACAGATGTATCCAGCTTTCACGGCACTCCAGCCCGAAAACTCATGAGTTAGCCAGATCAGACTATTCACCATTCTGAATCAGACTGTGGTTTCCTGCTTCCATGTATGTTCAACTTCTGTTTTCCCTCCTCCATAATGCCATCCTGTCCCGCTCCGTCTCAACGTCTCCAAATCCTGCTTCTCATTAGAGCTCCGGCCTAAATGCAACCCCTTCCTAAAAAGCCTTCCCTTTTATCTCAAAGTAATTACTCCTTTGAGAGTCTTTACTCATTTACTCTCTGATAGCACCTTTCATTTTCTACCATGTTGGTGGCATAAATGTTTTATCCTCTTCCAAAGTTCCTTAAAAGGGATGATGTCATTTTTTTAACCCTCATGTGATGCCCAATACAATATCTTGCACAGAGTAGGTACTCAATAAATGTTTGCTAAATGAACTAAAGAATGAAAAATCAGAAAGCGAGTGGTTTATCTAGAATCACTGTCCATTTATTTTACTCTCTTAAAAGAAAATATTTTAGTTCTCAACTCTCCCCAAATAGGTCATCCTACTCTGCCCTGCCTCAACTGTAAGCAACAGGTGTAAGTGAGTATTTACTACCATCATACTTCTCCAGCCACACAGGCCCTTCAAAATGCTTGATGAGCAAACTCATGAATGATTTCAGGCCACCAGGGGGCCTCCTGCTGCTACCTGAGTCCCAAAGGAAACACTGGAATGACAAATTATAACTGAAATGGAATCATATCTGGACATAGCACTATCTCTCCTAAATGTGAGGAGTTGGAGAAGATTCTCCACCGAGCCCACTACTACTCTCCTCCCTAAGCCACTTCACAAGGCTACATCTGGGTCCCCCTAGTCAGTAGAGGAGCCCTATCTGGGAGCCTTCAGTCCCATTAAAGAGTTACACACCTCTGCAAAACTGTAAGGCACAAAGATTGTCCTATGCATTGTGAATTCCAACTCCCATGAGGGTGAATTATGATATCACAATTATTTCATAACATATGTCTTTACTGGGCAAAGTTTATCTTTTCAAATGGTTGATAAGCAGATATGGAATGCATACATAAGCATGATGCAGGTATATATGTATTAAAAAGATAACCTGGCCCAATCCTGGAGCATCAGAAACCAGCTGTATCACCCAGCTGAATAACCCTAAACCCCACACATCCTGGGTCACACAAGGACAACTTTTGACCTCATCCTGTGCAGCAGGTCTCTACCTAGGTGAGAATCATAGCCACCCAGGTAACTCTGTGCTTCCCACCTTATCTTGGTTAATCTTAGGAATCTCGCCTAGAGAAGATGGTCAAGGTCATATGGATTAGGCACGTGGCTGAAGCCAGAGCATAAGCCCAGGAGAGCTAGACCACAAATCCTCAAACCTACCTCTTTGCACCATCACCACTCATAAACGGGCTGGGGGGAGATCTCCTGGTCTCCTGGGAAGTATTTTGGTTTTGAACTTAGAAGATCTGATTATAAATCCCAGTTCTCCTGTTAAGCTAGTCAGATGACCTTGAGTAGTTAAGCCTCATCTTTAAAGTAAGGTTAATTTTTAAGAAATGATTTAGATTTTGTAAACTATAAAGTACTACATAATTGCAAAATTGCTATTTATGGTAATATCTAATGTTGACGTTAGCCTCTTTCTCTACTTATTATCCCAACATGTCATTAAGCATCAAGCAGCCCCCTGTTTTGGTTAATTGACTTTAATCAGTCACTTTGTTTAACCTTGACATTATCCATAAAGGCTTTCTAGACCCAAAATATTCCAAGGAAAGCTCCTGTTCCAAAGATGAATCATCACTACATTTCCTTAATATTGTTATAATTTTCAGTGCTTTCACATATGTTGGAATTACTGTAAAAGTATATGTAATAGGGACATTCAATTAGGTGCCCTCAACATAAAAGAGATTATATATATTATAAAATTATATATATTATTTAAAAAAATCCTTTTTTCCACCCCCCGCACTGCCATTCAAGCCAATTTTGTCCTAGGCTGCCCCGCAGAAAAGAAGACTAAAGGCAGAAATCTAAAGAGAAACAAAAGAAGTACACTCCTAGTGCCTGGCTTTTGAGCTTCCAAGGGCATCCCAGTGATTTAGGGGTTATCTACAAAATTGTCAAGGGTAGTTTGTTTATAGTTGATTTTTACATTATTCCCTGACTTTAGTACTTAATCTTGTGTACAACAGCATTCAACTGTACCTGATGTTACCCAACATTCTCCATCACACTTTGAGGCTGGAAGGGCATGTGTCCACCCAGCTCTTTGCAAACCATTATTCAGAGAGGATAAGTGACTTGTTCAGTCAAGGTCTCACAGCCTTGGACCAAAATGTTGACCAGATATTGTAGTTATCCCAGATATACACCAAGCCATAACAGATACCATTTCTAGAATGTCTCTTTAGGAAAGGAAGACAATAAAAGTGTTCTGACACGGACTTTTGAAAAATTCTTTTTGAAGTATAACATACATAGAGAAAAGTGTGCAACTTAGTTAATTTCACAAACCTGTAGAGCTAAAACCCAGATGAAGAAACTAAATGCAGCAGCTTCTCCAAGCCCCCCTTAAATCTACTTCCAGTCATTATCTTTCTGGGGGAACACTATTCTCACCTCTAACACATAGAGTCGTTTTGCCCATTTTTAAACTCCATATAAATGGAATCATACGAAGTGTACTCTTTGTGCCTGGCCTCTTGATGTGCCATCATTTCCAAGATTAGGTTATAAAGACACTGAGGCTTTTGCCTTGATGTTTCTCTCTCTCTCTCTCTCTCTTTCTCTCTCTTGCCTTCATCTGGCAGAAGCCCTCTGCTATGTCATGAGGACACTCAGGAAGCTGTAGAGAGGCCTGTGTAGTGAGGAATTAAGGCCTCCAGCTAATAGCCAGAGAGGAGCTGAGACCTACCAGCAACTACCTCAGTGAACCTAGAAGTAGATCCTCCCACAGTGGAATCTTCTGATGACTGTATCCCCAGCTGACAGCCTCACCAAAACTTCCTAAGACACCTTCAGCCAGAACCACACAGTCAGGGTTGAATTCTATGATTTTTGTGGGCCCTGGGCACTTTTGTCTCTCTGGGCCCTTTCTTTCACTTGAAAGAAAAAGAAAGAAGGAAAGAAGAAAGGAAGGAAGGAAGGAAGGAAGGAAGGAAGGAAAGAAAGAAGGAAGGAAAGAGAGAGGAAGGAAGGGAGGAAGGAAAGAAGGGAGGAAGGAAAGAAAGGAGGGAGGGGAGGGGATGGAGGGGAAGGGAAGGAGAGGGGAGAGGTGGGGAGGGGAGGGGAGGGGAGGGGAGGGAAGAGCAGGAGGATGTATTTCACTTATTGCAAGAAGAAAATTGTACTGAAAAGTATTGTGGGCTCTAGGCACTGCACATACTGGACCTAATGGATAAATTGGCCCTTCACTCAGCTAAGTCACTCATGGATTTCTGACCCACAATAACTGGGAGGTAATAAATGTGTGTTGTTTTAAGTTACTACGCTTTAGAGTAATTTGTTATTCAGCATCAGATAATATTGTGCTCTTGTGAGATTTCCTCTATGTGACTTTTGGTGTACGTACATACACATCTCTGTTGAGAATATACCCAAGAGTGGATTTCCTGGATTAAAGGGTAGGTGTGTGTTCAGCTTTACTGCCAGAGTTTTCGAAAATGGTAAGATCAATTTATTCTTTCACCAGCACTATAAGAGAGTTCTGGATGCATTACATCATCATCAATTTTTTAAAATATTTTCAATCTCCCATTTTAGTCATTGTGGTGGATGTAACACTTGCTCTTAAAGTATATATTTTTAAAAAGGGATGTGGCGGGGCGCCTGGGTGGCTCAGTCGTTAAGCGTCTGCCTTCGGCTCAGGTCATGATCCCAGAGTCCTGGGATCGAGCCCCACATCAGGCTCCCTGCTCCGCGGGAAGCCTGCTTCTCCCTCTCCCACTACCCCTGCTTGTGTTCCCTCTCTGGCTGTCTTTCTCTCTGTCAAATAAATAAAACCTTTAAAAAAAAAAAAAAAAGGGATGTGGCACCAGAAGCTGGGCTCTACTAGGGCAGAGCAGGCTAGAGGTGGGAGAAGAGATTAGAGTGGAAAAATACGAATTAGATTTAGGCTTTGAAAAAGCAAAGCAGCAAGAGATAAATTCTCCAGGAAGTGCTCTGGAGACCAGAAACCAGGCTAAAGACTGAGAGTTGGTTCTCCATGCTAACAACATTTATAGAGTTCTCACTATGCTCCAAGCATCATGCTCTGAGCTTTGCGTGGATGAGCTCATCTGATCCTCAGCCCAGTCCAATGAAGGAAGTACTATTATCACCTCCATTTGATAGATGAGGAAATGGAGTCACAGATTAAGCCAAGTAATTGAGATCACACAGCTAGTAGAGTACGGTCTGAGTTCAGATTCTAGAACCCACTCACTTATCCACCATGTTGATACTCTCTGGTACACAGTAACCTTCCAATACCTGATTCTTGAATAAATGTCCCAAACAGAAGCTAAGCAACACAGGGTCAAGAGTTTGAGCTAAAGCTAAAGAGTGAGTCAACAGTTTTGAGAAACCAGGACTAAAAAGGTAGATGATTACTGAATCATTTGCCATCTGAAGCCACATCATCTTATAGTAACTCCCATATATTTGCAGCATTTTGCACCTTTCAAGACACTCCTATTAGCAAACATAGGACTGACTCAGGACCCCAGCCACATCTTCTGCCACCAAATCTGGTGCTTTCATTCTCAGCATCCTTGAGTTTCCTGTGTGGAAAATTCAAGACTCAGAATTATCAGCCAGCCCCAGCCCAAAACTGGAGGCTGGGTGTGACGGAAGTGCATAGCAGGAAAACTTGACATACTTTAGGGGGAATCAAAGAAGGCTTCCTGCAGGTGGTGACTTGATAAGGGCAGGACAGGTAGAGGAGTTGGCCAGGTGACAGGAGTAAGTAAGGAGAAGCAATCAGGGATACTCCCAGAGGGAACACCCAGAGTGAGTGCTGAAAGGTCATGGGGAGAGCTAGCCCTCAGCCTCTCTATCTCACCAGATCGCTATAAGGCAACAATGAAAAAACTCCTTAAGGGGATTTATCAATTACAAAAATCTGTCCAAGCAAAGAGGCTCAGTAACTCTAATATCTGTAAGATTCAAACTTACGACTAGAGAATCAAATGTTCAGGTTCTAATTGAGCAGAAATACTTCACTTTAATGTATGAGCACTATGGGGATGGTGAATAAAAAATATTATCATAACTAAAATCTTCCTCATAATCATTTCAATAATTATCCCCCTGAAGATGGTGTAGCACTCTGGTTAAAGGCTGGACACTAGACACAAAGTGCCTAGACTTGAAATTCAGTTTTACCACTTCCTTGCTCTGTGTCCTGTACAAGTAAACTTGTACCTCAGTTTCCTCATCAACAAAATGGGAATATTAATAGTATACCTCAAAGGGTTATAATAACTATTAACTGAGTTAATAGATAAAAAGTGCTTTATATCAATGACTGGTACTCAATATATTAAGTGGTACTAGCATCTATCTTAAAGTTAATTTTAAAGCCTAGCTGATATGCTTTGAGGGAGTTTTATGACATATAAAGCTACAGAAGTTACCAGAAAATCAGTTCAAATGAGATATTAGTAGAAAAAATGGCAGTTTACCTCATGAAAGAAATTGTAGGGGGCAGAGCAAGATGGCGGAGGAGTAGGAGCCCTGGATTTCGTCTGGTCTCAGGAATTCAGCTGGATAGGGATCAAACCATTCTGAACACCTACAAACCAGAGATCAAAGAAAAGAATAGCAACAACTCTCTGAACAGAAAAGCGACCACTTTCTGGAAGGTAGGATGTGCGGAGAAGTGAATCTGAGGCGATATTCGGGAGGATAAATGGCGGGGGAGGGGCCTCCGTCGCAGCTTCTGGCAAGTGATAGAGCCGCGGAACACAAAATGGAACTCTTAAAAGTCTGCTCCGCCAAGGGACGTCACTCTGGTGGCTAAGCGGAGGGTGGAACCCTCATGGGACAGTGTGGTCTCAGGACCCTCGGGGTCACAGAAAGACTGGGGGTGCCTGAGTGCGGCAGAGCTCCCAGGGATAGAAGCAGGGAAGCCGGCTGCAGAGACCGAGCCAAGGCATGGACTCCCAGCTCAGGGTTGCCATAAACCGTGATCCGCAGAACAGTTGGGCCACTGTTCCTCCAGCAGGGACCCAACAAGCGGCAGATCCGGGGAGACTCCCCTTCCTCCCCCGGGAGGAGACGCGCGGGAGCGCACTGTGGGGATCTGCTGGGTTTGGAGACTCCACATGGGGTCGGGTGCCAGAGATAGAAAAGCACGGTCACAGGCCAGGTGAGCACGGAGTGCGGCCGGAGACCGGGGAGATGGGACTGACTGACGGCTTTTCTCTGGGGGCTCACTGAGGAGTGGGGCCCGAGTTCTCAGCTCCTCTGGGGCAGAGATTGGGAGGCTGCCATTTTCACTCTCGGCCTCCAAAGCTGTACGGAAAGCTCACAGGGAACAAAAGCTGGGGAGAGCAAACCCGAGCAGATTACTTAGCCCGGACCGGGCAAGGGCGGGGCAATTCCGCCTCCGGCAAAGACATTTGGAAACCACGGCAACAGGCCCCTCCCCCAGAAGATCAGCGAGAACAGCTAGCCAAAACCAAGTTTACTGATCAATGAGAATGGCAGAACTCCAGGGCTAGGGGAATACTGCACATAGAATTCATGGCTTTTTTACCATGATTCTTTAGTCTTTCAAGGTTAATTTTTTTTTTAACTATCTTTTTTTTTTTTTAATTTTTCTTTTTCCCTTTTTCAACCAACTTCTTATCAATCCCTTTTTTAAAAAAACATTCTTATTTTTCATTTTTAGAGTCATATTCTATCCCTTCATAGTAGTTACCCGTATTTTTGGCATATATATATAAGTTGTTCTCTCTTTAAAATTTTGAGATAGTTTCTTCTAATAGATCAAAATATACCCTAAATCTCTAGTGTATGGTTTTTTTCTACTCCCCTGCCTGATCACATTCTCTCCCTTTTTTTTTTAATCCTCTTCTTTCTTTTTTCAAACAACTTCTTATCAAGTCCTTTTATCAAATTTTTTATAATTTCCATCTTTACAGTCATAATCCATCCCTTCATCATATCAACCCTTATTTTTGTACATATATAAGTTTTTCTTTCTTTAAAATTTTGGGAGGCACTTTCTTCTACCAGACCAAAATACACCCAAAATCTAGTGTGTGGCATTGATCTATATACCAGCCTGATCATATTTGATCACATTCTGTTTTTGTTTTGTTTTGTTCTGTTTTTGTTTGTTTTTATCTTTATCTTTTTCTTTTTCTTTTCTTCTTTTTCTTTTTTCTCTCTTTCCCTTTCTTTTCTCACTGCTTCAGGTCTTTTCTGATTTGTTTAGAGTATATTTTCTGGGGACGTTGTTACCCTGTTAGCATTTTGTTCTCTCATTCATCTATTCTCCTCTGCACAAAATGACAAGATGGAAAAAATCACCTCAAAAAAAGAACAAGAGGTAGTACCAACTGCCAGGAACCTACTCAATACGGACATTAGTACAATGTTAGATCTAGAGTTCAGAATCATTACTTTAAAGATACTACCTGGGCTTGAAAAAAGCATGGCAGTTATTAGAAAAACACTTTCTGGAGAAGTAAAAGAACTAAAATCTAACCAAGTCGAAATCAAAAAGGCTATTAATGAGGTGCAATCAAATATGGGGGCGCTAACTGCTAGGATAAATGAGGCAGAAGAGAGAATCAGTGATATAGAAGACCAAATGATGGAAAATAAAGAAGCTGAGAAAAAGAGAGATAAACAACTACTGGATCACGAGGGCAGAATTCGAGAAATAAGCGATACCATAAGACGAAACAACATTAGAATAATTGGGATCCCAGAAGAAGAAGAAAGAGAGAGAGGGGCAGAAGGTATAATGGAGCAAATTATAGCAGAGAACTTCCCTAATTTGGGGAAGGAAACAGGCATCAAAATCCAGGAAGCACAGAGAACCCCTCTCAAAATCAATAAAAATAGGTCAACACCCCGACATCTAATAGTAAAACTTACGAGTCTCATAGACAAAGAGAAAATCCTGAAAGCAGCTTGGGAGAAGAGATATGTAACCTACAATGGTAGAAATATTAGATTGGCAACAGACCTATCCACAGAGACCTGGCAGGCCAGAAAGGACTGGCAGGATATATTCAGAGCACTAAATGAGAAAAACATGCAGCCGAGAATACTATATCCAGCTAGGCTGTCATTGAAAACAGAAGGAGAGATAAAAAGCTTCCAGGACAAACAAAAACTAAAGGAATTTGCAAACACAAAACCAGCCCTACAGGAAATCTTGAAAGGGGTCCTCTAAGCAAAGAGAGACCCTAAAAGCAACTTGGACCAGAAAGGAACACAGACAATATACAGTAACAGTCACCTTACAGGCAATACAATGGCACTAAATTCCTATCTTTCAATAGTTACCCTGAATGTAAATGGGCTAAATGCCCCAATCAAAAGACACAGACTATCAGATTGGATTAAAAAACAAGACCCATCGATATGCTGTCTGCAAGAGACTCATTTTAGACCCAAAGCCACCCCCAGATTGAAAGTGAGGGGGTGGAAAACCATTTACCATGCTAATGGACACCAAAAGAAAGCTGGGGTGGCAATCCTTATATCAGACAAATTAGATTTTAAACCAAAGACTGTAATAAGAGATGAGGAAGGACACTATATCCTACTTAAAGGATCTATCCAACAAGAAGATCTAACAACTGTAAATATCTATGCCCCTAACATGGGAGCAGCCAATTATATAAGCCAATTAATAGCAAAAGCAAAGAAACACATGGACAACAATACAATAATAGTGGGGGACTTTAACATCCCCCTCACTGAAATGGACAGATCATCTAAGCAAAAGATCAACAAGGAAATAAAGACTTTAAATGACACACTGGACCAAATGGACTTCACAGACATAGTTGGAACATTCCATCCCAAAGCAATGGAATACACATTCTTCTCTAGTGCCCATGGAACATTCTCCAGAATTGATCACATCCTAGGTCACAAATCAGGTCTCAACCGATACCAAAAGATTGGGATCATTCCCTGCCTATTTTCAGACCACAATACTTTGAAACTAGAACTCAATCACAAGAGGAAAGTTGGAAAGAACTCAAATACATGGAGGCTAAAGAGCATCCTACTGAAGAATGAATGGGTCAACCAGGAAATTAAAGAAGAATTAAAAAAATTCATGGAAACCAATGAAAATGAAAACACAACTATTCAAAATCTTTGGGATGCAGCAAAGGCAGTCCTAAGAGGAAAGTATATAGCAATACAAGCCTTTCTCAAGAAACAAGAAAGGTCTCAAGTACACAACCTAACCCTCCACCTAAAGGAGCTGGAGAAAGAACAGCAAGTAAAGCCTAAACCCAGCAGGAGAAGAGAAATAATAAAGATCAGAGCAGAAACCAATGAAATAGAAACCAAAAGAACAGTAGAACAGATCAACGAAACTAGGAGCTGGTTCTTTGAAAGAATTAACAAGATTGATAAACCCCTGGCCAGACTTATCAAAAAGAAAAGAGAAATGACCCAAATCAACAAAATCATGAATGAAAGAGAGATCACAACCAACACCAAAGAAATACAAACAATTATAAGAACATATTATGAGCAACTCTATGCCAGCAAATTAGATCACCTGGAAGAAATGGATGCATTCCTAGAGATGTATCAACTACCAAAACTGAACCAGGATGAAATAGAAAACCTGAACAGACCTATAACCACTAAGGAAATTGAAGCAGTCATCAAAAATCTCCCAAAAAACAAAAGCCCAGGGCCAGATGGCTTCCCAGGGGAATTCTACCAAACATTTCAAGAAGAATTAATACCTATTCTTCTGAAACTGTTCCAAAAAATAGAAATGGAAGGAAAACTTCCAAACTCATTTTATGAGGCCAACATTACCTTGATCCCCAAACCAGACAAAGACCCCATTAAAAAGGAGAACTACAGACCAATATCCCTGATGAACATGGATGCAAAAATTCTCACCAAAATACTAGCCAATAGGATCCAACAGTACATTCAAAGGATTATTCACCACGACCAAGTGGGATTTTTCCCTGGGCTGCAAGGTTGGTTCAACATCCGCAAATCAATCAACGTGATACAATACATCAACAAAAGAGGAACAAAGAATCATAGGATCCTCTCAATAGATGCAGAAAAGGCATTTGACAAAGTACAGCATCCTTTCTTGATCAAAACTCTTCAGAGTATAGGCATAGAGGGTCCATACCTCAATATCATAAAAGCCATCTATGAAAAACCTACAGCGAATATCATTCTCAATGGGGAAAAACTGAGAGCTTTCCCCCTAAGGTCAGGAACATGGCAGGGATGTCCACTCTCACCACTGCTATTCAACATAGTATTGGAAGTCCTAGCCACAGCAATCAGACAACAAAAAGAAATCAAAGGCATCCAAATCGGCAAAGAAGAAGTCAAACTCTCACTCTTTGCAGATGATATGATACTTTATGTGGAAAACCCAAAAGACTCCACCCCAAAAGTGCTAGAACTCATACAGGAATTCAGTCAAGTGGCAGGATATAAAATCAATGCACAGAAGTCAGTGGCATTCCTATACACCAACAACAAGACAGAAGGAAGAGAAATTAAGGAGTCGATCCCATTTACAATTGCACCCAAAACCATAAGATACCT